TCTGTGTGTGTGTCTCTGTGTGTGTGTGTGTGTGTGTGTGTGTGTGTGTGTGTGTGTGTGTGTGTGTGTGTGTGTGGGAAAGGGAGAAATGAACAAGAATGGGGGATTGTCACAGACTGTTTCGTCAGAGTTTCATACACTCATCAGGAGGTCGACTATCTATTTGCTTGCCAATACCGACCGGCCCGAATGTCACGCGTTCGCTGCGACTGGTTCCCTTTAGATCGTGCACAGATGCGCAACTGATGCCGAGGACAGGAGATGACAAGTACGTCCCGCGATGCTCTTTAGGGGCCCCCTTACCTTCAGTATTTACCTCTGCCTATTTTCACTCCGGACCGTCCGTCGTCGCCTTCTTTGCCTTGTCGAGCCGACAACAGGAAAGATCCGGGTCTGGCGGAAAGAGCCCCGAAAATCTGCATTGAGGATGTAGCAGTCGACAGAGACCTCTCTCTCTCTCTCTCTCTCTCTCTCTCTCTCTCTCTCTCTCTCTCTCTCTCTCTCTCTCTCTCTCCACACACACACGCACGCGCGCGCGCGCACACACACACACACGTGCGGAGCGAACTTGCCGTTCACTTCACTCTCCTACTCTCGTCGCTGTTTCCCGTGCGATCGCAATCGAAACTGCAGGAAAGGATGAGGAAATAGAGCTTAGAAGCACAGAGAGGACATGACAACTTGGCTTTCACACACAACCGCACACACAAGGGAAGCGGAGCGAACTCGGCGTTCACTTCACCACCCTCCTCTCATCGCCAGTTTTCCCGCGTCCGAGATCAAACTGCAGGACAGGATCAGCAGTAAGGAAAGCGTAGAAGCACACAGAGGAAATGACAACTTCTCTTCCACACTGGCCGCAAAACAACACTCCTGCACAACCGCGCGCATCACCATGGCCTCTGGACTTTTGACACCCATCCATGCAGACCGTGATTCGAGAGTACAGCTCTCAGCTCAGCGTGAAACCAAATTGCACCGAATTCCCGCTCCTCTCACGAACTGGACGCTTCGAACAACAACAAAAATAAAGAGCACCAAAAGATGTAAAGAGATGTGTTCGGTGACATGGCAAAGGCCAGTTAAAATCATACAGCTGTCTCCCGATGAGGTTAAAATCATACTGCTGAGCACCAAAAGATGTAAAGAGATGTGTTCGGTGACATGGCAGAGGCCAGTTAAAATCATACAGCTGTCTCCCGATGAGGAGAAGACAGCTTTCCGAAAAAAAAAAAAAAAGGGAGGCAGGAACGGGGGACAAGAGGAAAAAAAATGGCGGGGAAGGAGATGCAAAAAGACCGCTCCTCGACAAACAAAACAACAAAACAATGCCCGCTCAACCTAAAAACCGACAAAAGCAATATATCTGTTCTCGTCGTCTAGTCTCACTGGTATACTTTCATGATTTTCCTAATGCGGGTCCTAACGGTAGGACTTCAGCCGCGTTGGCACACGTGAAGGCATTTCCAAATAAGGACCGAGTTCTTTTCTTTTTTTTTTTCCTTTATTTTTATTGCGAATTTACCTTCCATACGAGGCCGGGGACCTTCAACTCGGAGTTATCCCAGCAGCATAAGCCGTTTTTTTTTTTGTTTTTTTTTTTTAAAGGTCGTATTATTACCAAATGAAATGGAACGAGGCCGGGGACCTCACAATTCAACCCGGAGTTATCCTGACAGCTTCAGTAAGTTCAGCTTATAGTTCATCAACTGGAACTTCCAACCCCACATTCTCCCAGCAACAATTATTTGACTCGATACAATCTCCATTTCATCTCAGAGTATTCCCCTACACAATCTCAGCTACCACTAAACAACCTCCTTGGGTCTAATCTATTCTATTCTAGCCTATCTAATCCACCCTGCCTCTAAACTACCTATCCCATCTAAACCCATTTCACAGACCTATCTCACGGTCTGACCCCGGCCTTCTTCGACCGAGAGGAACCTAGGTTCCTTCTAACGCCTGGACACTCTCCTCCCTACCCTACCCCTTACGACCTCCTGCGATCGCCAACTGGAACCGAGTGCCCTGGTTCACCTAATAGACTATGTAGAAATCAACCACTTGGAGAGCACCAAACCCCTGGACGTATGAACCGCAGCCAACTTGTTACCCTTTCCCCATGATCTCAAAAACCACCACAGTTTCGCCCTTGGGCCCTTTCCACCTCTTACCTTCCTAAGCCAATCCACCTGGATCGCTCTCCTCAGGCCCCTCTTGATACTGACCTTGATTTCAACGTTCGAGTACGGGCGGTGCTCAAAGCGAGACCGTTTTTTGTCTGCCCAAATAACTGAACAGATCACTGCCCTGGCTACATGGGCCACATAGGCCCATCCTTTGTGCCCCGATTGGTCCTCCCCCACGAAACCCAGCAGTACCCATTTTTCATTCCACTCGACACCTTCCCCCCCTATCTCTCTCCAGTGGGTCTCCCACCATTTCCACACTCTTCGTGACGCTGGGCAGTCCCACCAGAGATGCTTAGTAGACTCGAAGGGCCAGGTACATCTTGAGCACTTCAGTGATGTCTCCATGCCCCTGCTGCAGAGCCATACTGCTGAGGGAGTCAGCACCAGTGAAAGCATCCATAACAGACTGGTTTGCTTAAGGTCAGGCAGGTCCAGCAGTACCTTCCATAACTTTAGAAAATCTGCTTCTCTCCCTTGTAGATCTTCCATCAAGATTGCACTCCATCTGGACATGGCCACCCCTGCTGGAGACCTCCCTCCCTTGTCTGCCAACCTATAAGATTCTCTCACCGTGAATTTCGAAACGTCCAGATTATGAACCTCCGAACCACCCACTGTCTTTCCCTCCCATTCCCAGGCTATTGGGTCAATTGACAGCTCCCTCAGCGGCGCTCTGCCAACCCAGATTGAGCACACCCTTCTCCCTCTCCGATTCAACTTATGTATCACCCTTGCCTGAGGCGGATTAGACCACTGTCTAATTGTTTCTGCCCCATCAGGTATCAAGCTTCCAGACTGTTTCATCACTGTCCACTTCTGAACTTTCCTGAAACCACTGCTTGTCAATCCCCGCAATTCCCAGAGCTCCTCCCTTCCATCCAACAGTGGGGATACATACCATGTGTCCACCGGGTCAATGCCCTTCGGGCCCAGCAGATGCTTCCAACTATCTGGAATTGCTCGTAGCACTTTCTGCCAGTGTTCTTCAACATGCCTCAGGCCTTGGAGAGTCAGCCGAATCTCAGAAAACGGCTTCCAACTGCCCAACAGCTCGGACTAGAGATCTGTCACCCTGGCTACACCTCTTTTTATCCAGGTTCTTCCAAATGAGCCCGGTGAGGAGCCCGCTCCCAAAAGATTACCTTCCTCGTCCAGAACTAACAGATTCTCAAACAGTCCTTGCCGCAGGACTTCTTCCTTTGTTTTGGGGGGTGTCTGTTTCTCTGGAGAGTGTAGCTTCATTTTCAGAAATGATCTAAAAAAGAAGCACAGCCAAACATCCTCCGCCCTACTCAGTTGTCACTCCCTCATTAAAATCTTCTCAGCGAGCAGTATCCAGTCATCTTTAACCTCCGCCATCGCCACCTCTGCCAACCATTTCCTCAACTGTGCTTGATTTTTCCGTTGTGGATCTATCAATCCCAAGCCACCTTGTTCCTACGTAATCAGCTCCCAGGCTATCTTCGGCAAACACCCTTCCTCTGTCGTAGCTCTTGGCATCCACAGAAACCTGGTTGCCAACCTCCGGATCTCCTTTACCACAGCGGAGGCCAGTTCTCTGACCGTACTTACAAACCAGATAAGGGAGAAGAGAGCAACATTAATAACTAACGCTCTACCCAACAATGACAAATGCCAAGTTGTACCCCATGCCTTCAGCCTAGCTGAGATCCGTTGCTGGATAAGAGCTCCTTGTGTAACACTCATCAGTTGCGTACTCACCAACACCCCTAGGAAGCGCTCACATGTCTCTGCATTTACCCTTTGCATACCCCATTCTACCCGAAGCGCAGAATCCTCCGGTAGCAGGTAGGTGGACTTGTTCCAGTTCACCGAAGCTTCATACAACCCTGAATATTCTAGCAGGACATCCTTTACTGCCTCCAATGACTCCACAGTATTGGCCGAAATCAGGAACAAATCATCCGCTAAAGCCTTTGTTCTACACTCCTTATCGCTTGACAGAGGTAGGCCCTGAATGCGTGGATGATTCCGGATCCGATTCAGCGGAACCTCTAGCTCGAGCACGAACAACAGAGGGGCTAGAGGGCAGCCCTGACGGAGAGACCTTGTCAACTGAAACTTGTCTGATAGATGTCCATTGACTTGGACTGCTGAAGTAGCGTACATATACATAGCGATAACCCATTTGCAAAACCCCGGACTGAAGCCCATCTTCCTCATCGTGGTCAAAACAAAGGACCAGCCTACTCTATCGTAGGTTTTCTCTATGTCAAGAAGGAGCACAACCAAATTCATCTCTTCCGCCTGAATGGCTTCTATGCTCTCAATTCCCGTCAAGATGTTGATGAAGATTGAACGGCCCTGAACAAAAGCGCCTTGATCTTTCTCCACCAACTTCGGGAGAACTTTCCCCAACCGTAAAGTTAGCGCTTTAGCTAAGATCTTTATATTCGCCTTGTCCCCCTTCTTGAACATGACCAAAATAACTCTGTGCGTCATCGCTCCCCCCAACTTCCCGTCCAGCAGAACTTCATTAACCACCTCCACAAGTGGGGGGCCCAAAGCATCCCAGCAGGCCCCATGAAATTCCACAGTTAAGCCATCCCTGCCTGGACACTTCCCCGCCGTCATCACCCTTAGAGTCTGTTTCAACTCTTCCTCCGTAATTGGTCTGTCCAGAAGCAGCCTGTCCGACACCTCCAGTTGAACAGCAGTGTCCTCCCACATGTTCAGTTCCTGTGTCAGGTCCGTATCAACTGTATCTTGGGTTCTTCTGGCTGTGAGGATATCTGAGTAGTACATCCTGACATATTCCAGCATCCCTTCGTTAGATGTTGCATGTTGAGCCGTTCGATCAAACGGGTGCTGCAGCTGGACCACCTGTTGAAAGGAGATACTTGGCAACAGTCTACGGAACGTTTCGTTAGACATCATGTCATACGTTTGAATGTCCTTGATCCTCAGCGTTTCCTCCCATCTCTGTTGCTTTTCTACTTGAAGTTTATCCCACTCCGCCAATCTGCGCTCTCTTTCCTTGGCCCACACCAACTCAGAGATCGGATGAGACTCCATCCTTCTTTCCGCCTCCTCTACCCTTCTCCTGCACAGGTCCTCTTCCTTATTTCTTTCTCTTGCAAGAATCCTAGAGCTCACATTCAGAACCCCAGAAATTACAGCTAAGCCCCCATCCAACCATTTTGTTGTGGACGGGAAGGACAGTCTGGTCGCCTGCCAATTCTCCATATGGGTACTCACCCAGCTCCTCAAGCCCGAATCCTCTAAATTTTGAGAATTTAACTTAAAATAACTTTCCCCCCTCTCCACCTCCCCTGTCATCACGATGTCTACCGCCACCGGCTTATGATCAGAAAGCGGGTGGGATATCTGTTGGACATAAGTAACCGATTGAGCTAACCCCTTACCCACCAGACAGTAGTCCAACCGCCGTCTCACTACCTCCCTCCCATCCCCCTCTCTCCGGGCACTAGAGAACCAAGTAAAGCCCGGGTCTTCCGGGTTCAACCAGCGAAACGGGTCTGACAGATCCCGTTCCTGAATCAGATCCAGCAGGGCGGCCGTGTCTTTTCTGCCAGCTGAGCGGGAGCCTTTGCGGAGAGCCTCGTCTAATGACAGATTCCAATCCCCCAGAATTACCACATTCTCTGACTGTGGAACTATTCTTTGCAGATTAGTGAAAAACTCCACTCGTGCAGCTACATCCGTTGGTGAGTACACTGTTGCCAATACCCATTCCTTCTTACCCACCTGTAACCTCACCCAGGCCCATTTCCCCCATAAGTCAGTCTCTGCATCCAAGACTGAGCCTTGCAAATTCCGATGGAGCAATATAGCCACTCCTCCCCTTGTGCCCTGCGCAGGGGACCAGAATTGTGGTCCCTCCCACCACTTCTGGATAAGATCAAACTTCTCCTCTGCCAATTTCGTCTCCTGCAAGCACAAGATGTCTACCTTTCGCGAGAACATCTATGACTTTATCCTTTTCCTTTTCTCCCTTTCCGTGGTTTCTCCCATTCCCCTCACATTCCAAGTTGCCACTTTCAACTTAACGATCACCAACCTTTTCTTCCGCCGGAAACTGGATGCGGGAATCCTCCTGAACATCACCCCACCTAGGCTCTCTGTGGGCTGGAGACTGATCCATCGGACTCTGGTCTGAACTACCTTTGGATTGGCTCACATGAGATGACGCTCGCCAACTCTCTGTTAGAGAGGATAGCATGAATCTGAATCTCAGATTCAGACTTTCAGGAAGTTTCTCATGTGCTTTCAAGAGTACCAGAGCTGATACCTCCTGCGTTAAGGAGATGGCTTCTAGTTCATGGCTGTTCGCCTCTCTCATAGCGTCCAAGTGAAACCATTTCACACCAGCCCGTGACAGGGCTTCAGCTGTAGCTGGCTCCAGACGGGCATCTAATAGCGGGAAGTAGAACTTCAGTATCTTCACCTCCATCGGGACTTGGCAGCTTACCATTATCGAACGCGGGATGATACGGATTGGGAAGGCATCCCCAAACAAGAACTTAGTCCTCGTCAAGATTTCTCCTGGAAGAGGAGTTTTGTTTGTAAGTACTGAGGGGAGATACGGACTGCCGTCTGACTGGGTCATCCCTAAGAAGTAGGCCGAACTGCCTAACATTGCACAGACTAGCGGAACCATCCTCTTTTCTATCGGTCGACCGTCTGTCCGCTCTGATCTGTATCCTCGTTTACTCGAAGTATCCGACTCATGCTCCCTTCCTCCCAAAGCCCCTCCTGAACTGCCCGTAGATGACAACGATCTTTCCGCACGTAAGAGTCCCGAACCTCCTAGGGCTCTTTCATCTCCAAAGAAATCACTACCCATAGCTACTCTTGATCTTGAGGACGAGGATAGCTCTGAGCCCTTATTGCCCAAGTCCACTCTCCTTCTATCCCTGGATTCCGACTGAGTACCTCTCCGACTTCTTACTGGGACACTCTCCTCTCTTCCATCCCAGTCATGGCGAGTCATCTCCTGACACCTTGATTGGCTCGGAGCCTCCCCCTGCCCTCCTCGTCCACTCAACGTCGGAGGGGGGTCCTCTAATCTCCCTAACTACTCATAGTAAAATCTTGTCGGCACCGACCTGATAACCGGGTGGGGTTGGGGTGGATGTACCACCTGGCAACCTGGGATTTCACAATGCCCCTGCATGCAATAAGGGTTCCCTGCAAGTGTAGCCTGCTGCTGATACATCTCATACTGGGGACCAAACGCCATCCCAGGATTTTTCGGCCCTAGCATCTGATGGGCCCAAGGATCACAGGGGGGCATTAGAGAACTCCCAGGAGGTGGAGGGTGTGTTGGGGACCTGTACATGTGATCAACACATCCACCCATGGTGGGGGGCCGTCCTTGTCCACCCAACCCTTCACCGAGAGACCCTCCTGGACCCTGATTCGCCGTCTGATTTATCCACTCCCTGCCCCCCCCTTGCTGATCTTGCGAAATTGGTTGCACCCCTCCCGAATGTGTCCGATCCTGCAGTACTGGATCTTTTGTCTGCCTCTGGAGTTGACTTGCCGCTTGTTGACTAGCCGCTGGAGTTGAGTGCTGTAGGCGTTGGTCCTGCACTTGCTGGACCGACGAGCCCTGGGCCTGCCTCTGCTGCGTTGGGGGCCGCTGAGGGGGCAGTCTAGAATTAGACCACATGCGCCGAGCTCCAGATTCCCCTTGTCTGGGGCAGTCTTCCTCCGTATGAAAATACCACCTGCACTTCTTACACCAATTTGAGTATGGAGTGGCAATATTCACTGTCCATAACTTCCCCTTCGGCGACTCAATCGTCAGTGAATTCTCCACCCGGAACCGCGCCGACGGATCCATGTCTAACTTAATGTTCATTAACTTTGGTCTCGATCTGTCTGCCTCCGGCGGGTGCATGTATTTGACTCCCCCAACTAACCCCTCCACTGCTGATGGTAAGTAACACATAGCATCCAACGGGACGCGCAGTGCTACAATCCAGAAGTTTGTCTCCGCCTCTCTCAACTTCAACTTTTTCCAGTCTATCTTAGTCAACCAAGGCTTCACTAATACTGTGTAATCCTTCCCTCTCAGTCCCAGTTTGATCGTTCCTATCTGCACCAACCAGTTTCAAACTTAATTCTTCCCCTTCTAACATTCGGGTCAAACAGTCGTCTCGACATCCACCCATCTTCATGAGCCCTAACCAAATCCTCTTTGACGCTCCGAGTCAAATCCCTCGCCTCATCCTGAAAAATAAATATCACTGTTCTCTCTTTCAACCATCTTTCCTTGATTGCGTCGTAGGATTCATTAACTTTGAACCTTTTCCCTCTTTCATCCTCCACCACCTCCCCCATGTTCTCCACCAGCTGAATGACCCCTTCGTCATAACATTGTCCAATCGCAGACCTAGCTCTGTCCTCCATAATCCAGAAGTTGACCTCTGGGGGTTGAGGAGGGGGAGACCTCCCTCCTCCATCTCCCTCCCCTGCTGGTTCTACCTCCATCTCCAGCCCTAAGGAAACCCCACCATTTTTTAGAACCTCCTCAGCCCTTCGACTGCTCGTACGTCTTTCCTTACCCATCCTTTCTCTCCCCTTTTCTCCCCTTCTCTCCCTCTTCCATCCACCCTAACCGACTCCTACCCTACGGAGCTTCCCCAATCCGCTTATCTCACCTGATTACGTGTAAATGACAGAGTCCCCCTTCGAATACCGATGGACCTTGGTCAAACTTGCTCCGCATTTGGAATACACCACGATTGTCAATATTTCACCCTTGAACCCATTCTCCGACTAAGCCGCCTCTAGACCAAACACACCCTCTATCTCTACAGATCGTAGCGCCTTGCCCCCTCCATGCCCCGAAATAGAAAGCCTCTCCTAAGGTCCACTCCTTCTTCTTCCTTCTTAACTCGTCAACTTCCATACCCCCCGCCTCATCCCTTCCAATCTCTCTGTGCCATAGGAACCTCAACCCTTCCTCCCCTCTTCCGAGACCCAAAGGCAGCAGGCAGGATGTCCCCCCCACCCTTCTTTATCTCCCCCCATCCACCCAATACCACCAGGATTTACCTCAACTCCCCAATCCATTCGCTTTAACTTTCTCCTTCCTTCCTAAGCCAACCCGTAGCCAATGATACCAAAATAAGGGATGACATCAACGACGATTTTTACAAGTCCAAAGCCAAGGATAATTCAAGCCAAATCATGAGCAGTAACTGCTCTCACCTCCAATAGGTTGATATTTCACCTCTACTCCAACATAAGTAAGTAGGCAGGCTGTCTCGAAAGAGTTTCATCCGACATAGTCGGACCCCACGATGCGTGAGTAACATGAGCCCATCGCTCCTCGTCAATGGCAGCGGGGTTGGCGACGAGGCAGGGAACGAGCCCGACCGAAAAACCCCTTGCAAACCCGTCGACTCGCTCCAGCGCCGGTTCGGAGCGGCTCGAATTAGCGCACCAAAGTTTGCGCAGCCGCCTTGCCACGGCGCATAAGCCGGTTTAGCTAATGAGTCACTCTGTCCGTTCTTTCGATTAGCCGTGCCTACGACATTCTACATTTACTTCAGCAAAACTCACGATTCTCCACTTAGAACAGCCCCTGACTATGCACTCCTATTATCGTTCCTGTCTACCAAAAGAGTTCTACTTAGAACAGCCCCTGACTACGCACTCCTATTATCTATTGAACTAGCCTACCCCGAAACTAACCATTCTATCTAACTGAGGAAAAACACAAGCCTCACCCGCCCTGAGGTCGGCCCAAAACGGCCAACTGGAACAATCACTTCCTTGTGATAATGACACTCTTACCACCCAGGGCCCCAAACCGAAGAGCCCTAAGGGACCTCCAAAAGAAAGCAACAGCCTATCTCTAGACAGGAGACGCCTCAAGACAACTTCATCACAAAGGTGTCATGGCAATATGTAACAAGAAAGGAAGATCAAGGAGGACTAGGCGTCCTGGACCCGGCCAGCCAAATAAAAGCTCTCCAAACCAAGTGGATTATAAAACTACTAAAGAGTCCTAAACTGGCTTGGAAAACCCTGGCTCTAGAAGGGGTACACCACCTTCCTACGTTCAGTACTCCTGACAACATGGAAGGTACTTTCTGGATCCTCAGCAAATCATGGACCATAAAGAACGAGTCCCAAAATGAACCAAGAGTGAACTTCTGGAAGATACTACTGAAGGCGTGGAGAGAGATCTTCCCGTCGAAGGTAAGAAAACCTATGAGTAAAGAAGAAATCCTCAGACAACCACTCTTCTGTAACCCATGGTTAGCCAATAACGAGGGCGCCCCTTTTACTCTCACAGCAAAGGACACGAGATGCAGGTCCTGGCTGGAGAGAGGCATCTGACAAATCAAGCACATCTGGAATGATTCAGAAAAGGAATGGAAGACAGCTAGACAGTTCAGAGAAAAACTGAAAGGTTGTGGCCACAATCTAACCCAAAACCTCCAAATAAATGACAAACTCCATCCTATCGGAGTGGACGGCAACCCTAAAAAAAGACAAACAATGGTCACCAGGAGATTGCGCAGTAATGACACACACAAATTCCCAAGAGCACACTCTAGCCTTTATAAGAGAGAAAGATGGCAAAAAAAAATTGGCTTACTTTCTCCACACATAGCTTTGAAGAACCAGGAGCATCTACTGCGAAGTCAATTAAAACTCATTAGCACAAGTTACAGTCAACGAAAGCAAAGTAAGAAAAGTTAAAGTAATAGAAAACGAGGAACTTATTTTATTCCAACCACAAACTACAATAGAGGATTTTAAATTTGACCCAGCAGAATGGGCTTGGAACCTTTTTTTTTTTTTTTTTTTTTTTTTTTTTTTTTTTTTTTTAGGCCCTTGTGCAAAGCCATAAAAGTTCACAAAAATAGACCGCAGAATCAACCTGATCAACTATACCATTAGTAAGGTCTTCAGCCAACACGGGTGTGAGTACGCGTTTGAGTAGGTTGTGTGTGGTGTGTGGGAGAGTGTTGGCTTTAGACACTACTGTTACT